CCTGTCCCCAAGCCATGAGGACACGTGGTGGGGACAGGCTGGTGTTTGTGCTACATGATGCTTCATCCCCTCCTTGGTTGAAACAGCCCCTGCGAGAGCCAGGGAGGCATTTTCCATGGTTGCTGGAAGCTGCTCAGATCCCAGGAGGTGCTGGGTGTGCTGGCTGAGCCTCTCACCCCCTGCTACCCTCTCTCTTGACCCCACCTCTCTGGGGGCAGCCAAAGTCCTACCTGGCAGCAAAAGCCATGGGGACCACAGCCCTGGCAGGGGACCGGCTGGACGCTGTGGTGTCCCTGGGATGCCTCCAGCTCCTCTCCCAGCTCCAGGAGCTTGGCCACTGCCCCACACATCTGCATGGCAGAGCAGCCACCGTCCCAGCTGGGCCAGGGCTTGACAGGGCTGAGGAACTCGGGTTTATTTTCTTTCTTTGCTTTCCCAGAGCCTGGATGGGGACCAAGTTGTGCTCCAGAGGATCAGGAAATATGTGAAAGCCATTCACATCTCCGGGCTCAGTGAGTTGTGCTGTGGGATCTGATGGGCATCCTTGGGCTGTTGGGGTCTGTGAAGGTCCCATTCTCCACCAATGCTGGTCACATCTGTCCATGGGGTGATGCAGCTGGACAGTGGGGTGGCCATGGGTGCTGGGCAGTGAGGGGGACATGGGTGCTGGGCAGCCTGGGGGGTGTGGGTACTTGCAGACAGCCTGGTGACACAATAGGGTGCCCAAAACTGGTTTAAAAAAATGTAAAAAAGGGAAATTGAGAACCTCAGGGAGGTGGTTTAGGGCACACACTGCTGTCCTGCAGCAGGATCAGCCCAGCTCTGCTACAGAGGGATGGGGAGATGGATGATGGATGCTGGTGGGACCTCATGACGTGACCATCTCTGGGGATGGGGTGCTGCAGGGTCACCCCATGTCCCTCACTGGTGTCTCCTCGCACAGCCCATGTGGAGAACGAGGAGCAGTACAGTGAGGCTCTGGAGAACTTTGGCAACAACCACCTCTCCCAGAACAACCATGAGCTCTCCACTGGCTTCCTCAACCTGGCTGTCTTCACCCGTGAGGTCACCGCGCTCTTCAAGAACCTGGTGAGCTGCTGAGATCAGGGGGAGGCTTTAACCCCCCGTGAACCCCACTGAAGGGTTCACAGCATCTCCAGTGCAACCTCAGGCTGTTCTCTGCATCCACCTATCGCCAAGCTGGAGAAAACCCCCAGGATCCATCTGGATTTGGAAAAACCACCCAGTGCAGCCCCCTCCTCCCAATTTAGCTGCCTTCCACCTCAGGCAGCGATCCCCAGCTCGGGGACACGCTCCCAGTGCTCCCAGCCCATCCGATATCCCCACTGCTGGGTCTACAACTCATTCCCAGCTCCTCCGGGGATGCCAGCACTGGGACTTGATGGGCAGTTGGGGCTGCTGCTTTCTTTTCTCCCTTTCCTTCTACTTTTTTTTTTTAAAATTTTTTTCTTTTCTTTTATTTCTTTTTTTTTTCTTTTTCTTTCTTTTTTTTTCACATCAGTTGCATCTCTGATCTCGCTTGCCAAGAAGTAAATCAAAGCCATGCCGAGCTGCTCAGCGGGGCCTTGGGGAGCTGCGGCCATGCAGGCAGGGAGGGAGGCAGGGAA